AAAAAAAAAAAAAAACTGTCACACTCTCCATAAAAAATAATAAAAAATGGAATAAAATCTTTGAAACTAAACAGATAGCAGAGATTATAAATCCATGTACATAAAACTCAAGGACCTGTAGCTGCTATTTTCACTGGCAAAGCAAGAAGAAGGCAAATCTGCTATAGACATGGATAAGGGGAAAGAAAATGAACATAACTTCTAACAAACATGTAATAGCTTCATGTAGGCTGTCACGATGGATTAGAATCCAAAAGAGTCAAGCCACAGACAGAATTCTGGAACTAAAAAAGATGAAATTGGAAGTGGATAATTCCCCCAGGGCATCCAGAAGAGACAGACTCACCAGTATCCTGATTTCCACTGAAAAGCCAAGACACACTGAACTTCTCACTTGTGAACTAATAAATGGAGCTGTTTTCTACCGCTATGCTTATGGTAACTAGTTACACAGCAATTGGAAGCTAAGAAACACCCTGTTACATGAATAGTGTTATAAAATATAACAAATTTATTCTGGTTTTCAGATTATTGATGGAGAAAGACAAGAATTTTGCTTAAGCACAGTGAAATGTTAAAAATCAAGTCATTCATTTTTATATAATTTGGTTTATGTTGCTTGGATGCCAGTAGCTTTGCATTTTTTTCTGTGTTATAGTTTATAGAGTAAAATTAACTCTGTGTTACAGTTTTAGGAGTTTAGGCAAACACATGTTGTCATGTAACCACCATTGCAATCAAAACATAGAACAGTTCCATAAATTTAAAAGTTTTCTTGACCTGTTTTAGTCACCTATACTCAGTTCTCTGGAGACTATCCACTTGTTTTTTGTTCCTCTAGTTTTACTGTTTCAGAAAGCCATGTAAATGGAATCATAAAGTACAAAGTCGGTTGAGCCTAGGTTTTTGAATTAGCAGTATACATTTGAGATCCATCTATATTGTTTTGTGTATCACTAGTTCATTGGAGATAAGTCTATTAAATGCTGAACAGCATTAGTTGTCTGGATATACCATGGGTTGTTGATCTGTTCACCAGCTGTGGAATATTTGCACCATTTTTATCTTTTGGAGATTATGAATAAAGGTGCTAAAA